CCTTGCGCAGCTCTTCATCGAATAGTGCCCTGACGCGCTTGAGCACAGTGTTGGCCTGCGTAATCGGGAACGCCAGCTCCAGCGTGTACGCGCGCAAGCCGTACTCCCAGTTCGGCCGCTGATCCGGGTACAGACCGCCAATGAGCACGTCGTAGTTCCAGCCGTAGACTGGCCATTTTTCAATGGGCGCCCACGTCGTCTTCTCCCGGAAGTTGGGCTTCTCCCACTGCCCGAAGAAGATTTCCTCGGCCAGCATGTTTGACGTTGCCAGATACTTGCCGCTGTCGAGAAGCACGCGCGCCGTGTTACCCTCAAGCGCCGTTACCGAGAACGTGTTCTGGAAGCCCTGCTGCTCGCTGGTGCCTTCGGGAACTTCATCGTAGTAGCGCCAATGGAACTTGCGTTTGTACGGCCACCACTGCAGCATTCAAATCAGTCATTGTTCTGGCTCACTGCCAGGTCTTGAGGCGCTATAGAAAACTTACCCAGAAGTTAGCAGTCGCGTAAGGCGCAATCATGCCATAAATGTCGCCGTTGAGTACCTTATCTTCATCAAGCCTGTACAAGGTCAGTGCCCATCCTCCAGGAGTCTAACGTCGGCATCGGGGGAGAAGCTTACGTCTTCTGGTCGGCATAGACCTTGAAGTCGGGGTAGATCTTGAACTTCATCCTTACAATGACACCCAGCAGACCAAGAGAAGTGCTAGCAGCCAACCAGTCGTCGTTCTTCTCGTCCCGAACAATGCGTCTAACCTGGCCTGTGCCGTCGACAATGTCCATCTCCAACACGCCGGCAGCGACCATCGAATCCTCGCGGATCGACGACCGGTGAGCGCCCATGGCAACGGAGCCTGCCAGCGTGATGTTCCAGTGACAGCGTGTACCCGACCGAGGCGCCACGCTCGTGCAGCCACTCGCGAGCTGGATGAAGGTCACGCCAGCTCGACCACACGGACCACCCTCGAGTCGAGATCGTAGATGTTGTGTACCTCTCCGTCTGATGATGACCGTGTTCGGGTCGTCGGAGCACATGGTATCATACCACATGTGTCCGAGTCCTGAGGCGCGGACCTTTTGGCCGGCGACGATGGCCTCCTGGACGACCGCTTGGATGTCGTCAACGGTCTTGGGGTTGTATACGGCTGCTACATCGTGACAGGCGGGGAAGCCAGGGCCGTCATAGGTGTTATATGGCTCGGCGGAGGCCGTCAGGGCCAGCATCAGGAGGGAAGCACTTTGCAACAACATGATGACGAGACTGCAGCGAACAGCGCTGAGGCAGGGCAGACTAGAAGCATCGGATCCGAAAGAGATCGGACGCAAAGGGGTCACTGTTTTTATGCTCGAACACACTCAGCGCCTCGATCCTCGACCCAGACTGACTGCTGAGCCGAGGGTTTTCATGTGACGATGATCTCGGTGGTGTTGTAGTTGCATCCTGCACCACGGTAGACGAGAGCAGGCGGTACGCTCGCCCGGCGTGTGTGTCGCGATTGGGAAAGAAGCTTCTCGAATGGGGAGGGAGCTGCGTTGCCGCCAGGGTTCTGATGTAACACCCCGCAGTACCAATGGGGCAATGGGCCGACTTTTGTTGCTGTGCCGTGATGAAAGTATGCGGGGGATTGGGGGTGGAGGGCCATGTTCCTTGCTTGGTGGCGGTCAGCCCAAGCATCGAGGTCATCTTGGAAACTATGACGATCCCAATATTACTCGTCTCGTGGTCAGAGTTGACCGTCAGGAGGCTTGCTCTCCGTGGCATGGTGTTATGGACCGATGCCCCGCATACCTTACCTCCCTGCCTCCCAGAATATCTACCAATCTTCTCACTATCATGAGGCGAGCCGAACTACTGTCAGGTGGAATTGTATGCAGGCCTCTGCCCAGTGGCTGTTAGGTTGATGATTGTGTCCTTTCCAGGTCCAATGACTGCAGGAGTCACTTGAGAACCCGCACTTGTACAACATCTTGACTGAGCAACTGAATGGTTGATGAGGCTATGTGTTCGACCGTACTCATAGTGGCTCACTATCCTGAAAAATCATGAAATCAAGCGGTATCGCTCCCTCGATATTTGCGTGCGCAAATCACACCGCCGCCCAGCCCATGTCTGTCGGTACTAGAGCTCCGTTGATGGTGTTCATGCCATCTGAACATAGGACAAGGACCGTCTTGGCAACCTGTTCCAGAGGGGATATCCCAAGGTTCCAGCCACCTTTACCAGGCTCACCTTGCCACGTTTGACAAGTCGCCCCCGCTGAACAATGCGTAAGCTGTTTGTTGCTGACTTCTCCAGAGTGGGCGAACAGAAGACTTACATAGAGCCATGCCCTCGGGGTGGAGCTGCGAGAAATCATGACTCCCTCCTGAGATGTTGGTGGGCATCGCACCAGGCATGATTCCGACTGATCGGATGCCTTTGGGACCGTAGAACGCCGCGGTGCTCTTAGTTAACCCAACCAAACCATGTTTCGAGGCCGTGTACGCGACACCTGAGGGATTCGAAGTTAACCTCTTAGCCTTTGAAAGGTAAACATGGGTATTCCTGTTGACTGACCTGCTCTTCCACCGTGGTTTCCAGCTGTGCTAATCACGTTTAGGATGGTACCACGTTGTCCGTTGACGAGCTCCTGTGAGAGGTACTGTCGAACGGCGTTTTGGCTCGTGACGAACGGGCCCGTCAAGTTGACCAGGAGGTTCGAGTCCCACACGTGGCGCGTGCATTCGGCCAGAGGCAGCAACTTGTCCAGGATTCCTGCATTGTTGACCAAGATGTCGAGCCTGCCAAACCTGGCCACCGTGTCGCTGACGAGCTTTTGAACGCCAGCATCGTCGGAACTGTCACACTTGTACGGGAGCAGGCGCTCCTTGTGCTCGGCTTCAACAGCGGCAGGAAGCGCACCGAGCAGCGTGTCTTGAATATCCGTCGCCACGACGTTGGCGCCTGCGGCGAGAAACGCTTGTACAATTGCGAAACCAAGCCCTCCTGCGCCGCCGGTCACGATGACGGTCTTGTTACTGAAGGAGGTAGACATGGAGGTGACTTTTTCTTGCATATGGAAAATTAAGTTAGCTTCCGCAGGGCGAAAAATAGCTGATATGCGTCGTGAGTATGCCAAAATATTTCAGTCTCGGCCAGGTAAGGCAACGCTTTTTAAACTTTATAAATGAAGAAGACACAACACTGGTGCCACTGCAATCCCAGGCCCCCTGAGCTGGTGCTCTAACTTGATGTATTGCAAACGTGGGATCTGCCGTCCAAGTCAGCTGCCCAAACCTGTATCCCCCACGGGGCCGAATACGATCTCGATTTCGAGCCTTTGAAACCGAACTCGAATTCGAATCCGACGACAACCCGCGGATCTGAGTGGGCCGCTACGCACTGGCGGTTTCGAGCCCGCTAATTTTCCAGGGGATTATCGTGGCTTGAGTAAGCGAACTCATAACGTACGAGACAGAAGTCAAGCTTCTCTGCTTCAAAACTAGAAGCACACGATGCACACCATTAACGTAAAGAGTTTGAGCATTTTCGCAATATCTTACTCAATGGGTGGGTGTACGGCTGCCGAAGCTGGGAGGTGCAGCTTTGGATGGTGCTATCTGGGTTGGCCCGAACTGGAACACCACGCCCTTATTCTGTTAGCGGCTAGGGCAGGAACTCGTTCCTGAAAGTCAAAGTGGAGGCAGAGTACCGCCTGCTACAGGAACAAACGTAATGTTTTGATGCCCGTCAGTATCAAGAAGCACATGAGGAGACAAGGATCAGGGTGGCACAGAGGCTAGTTGGGGGCTTGGGATCACGGGACTGTGTAGGTAAGGGCTGCAGAGCGCGCCAGATACCAGATGTATTCCTCCCTCCTGTCTTACAAATGACTGCGGAAGACTGCTTCACTCTGTTCACCACATCGCCCGAACCTACATGCTCGCAGATTTTGATGTTGGATTTTGTAAAGGATGCGAGTCCTCGTGCATACCTAGGTAGTCTTTATCATGTTTCTTAGATGGAGCTGGACAGTCGCTAGTTGATTGTCAAATGTCCTGTTTTACCATCTTGGGATATGTGCCGAGAAGTCCGGGTGAAACTTTTTCATGTAAGTGGTGTCATCTCTCTTTCGCAAGCCACAGTCGAGATATTGTTGATGCAACCGAGCGAGTCTACCACGGTCTAACTCAACGCCTAGCCCTGGTGTTTTCGGAACGATGACGCCGCCCTCCGACCACTTCAGCGCGCCGTCAACGACAACATCTTCATCTCGACGCTTCCATGGCCAATGAGTGTCGCAGGCGTAGTCGAGGTTCGTTGTCGCTGACGCAAGCTGCGTCATGGCGGCCAAGGAGATGCCAAGGTGACTGTTGGAGTGCATCGACAGTCTCATTCCCCACGTTGCACATATCGCAGCGAGCTGCTGGGACTTGCGCAAGCCACCCCAGAAGTGGTGATCGGACAGAATTACCTGCACGGCATCTTGCTGAATTGACGATGGAAGGTGTGAGAAGGCTACGACAGCCATGTTGGTCGCCAGAGGCATTGAAGCGTCCTTGGCCACGGCAGCCATGCCTTCGATCTCAGGTGCCGGGTCTTCGAGGTATTCGACAATACCTTTGAGCTCGGCCGCAACCCACTTTGACGTCTCCACGGTCCAAGCAGCGTTCGGGTCGAGCCTCAGAGGCACGTTGGGGAAAGCCGCATGCAGTGCCTTGATAGCCTCCACCTCCTGAGCAGGTGGATACACACCGCCCTTGAGCTTGATTGCCTTGAAGCCGTACTCATCAATGATCTTTTGCGCCTGTCTTACCAGACCCGGCGCATCGAGGGCAGCTCCATATTCGTCGTCCGCCTCGCCCGGGTGACCCGCCCACTTGTAGAATAGATACGCCGAGTACTGGACTTGATCCCTGACGCGGCCGCCGAGCAGGTCACTTACAGGAACACCAGCTAACTTGCCCTGAATATCAAGGCACGCCACCTCAAAAGGGGAAAAAACCTTGTCAGCAACGGACGCCGTCGTCACCATGCCTGCCATGCCATCACCTCCAGATGTAGCGTTGCCCTCGAGCGACGCGGTGCACTTCTGATAGATGCCATTTGTGTTGTACACCGAGAGACCCTTGATCTGCTCAGATGCTGCTTTCAAGCGATCAAGATGCGTTGAGTCGCCGTAGGACTCCCCCAAGCCGTAAGTGTCTTCTGTAATGACCTCGATGATGCTGCGCAGAGCAAATGGTTCGTGTACGCCCACGCTGTTGAGCAGGGGCATATCACGGAACGCCACGGGCGTGATAATGATGTCTTTGATGACCCCGCGTCGGGACATGGCTGCAGATGATAAGAGACAGGGCCGGCGGCTGTTCAGAATAGTATCTTGTTGACTCGAATGGACAATGGTCCTTTGGCAGGTACCGCAGGAAGCCCGCGAGAAAGTCCCGACCGGGCTTTTCAAATGACGGATTATGATGGTCACCGTAGAGGGGTCACCTAGTGCCGCGGCTCACGGCCGAGCCGACAAACACGGAAAATGAAACTATGTGACATATCCCGATGCAACGTGGTCAAGATTAAGTTGTCGCACCGGCCGGAGTGGCTCTCGGTGCATGTGCGACGCGAAGATGGTGGCGCTCTTTGCGGATTTGAATCTGACTTGCCCAGGCAGAATGCAGTGTATGATGTCTCCGAGGACGTGCGTTTCCGCGGGGAGCAAAGTGATTGTGATAGAATCCACAGTCGAGAAGGTGGTGATTGTTCCAAGAATCCGCCAAGAATCCGTCAAATCCGCCAAGTCCGTCAGAACCGAGTCGCCATGGATGCAACACCAACGCCAGCCACGATGCCCAAAAGAGGCAAGTGTCCGGTAGTTCTCCTTAGCTTCTACCACACGCACATGGCGGATACTGTCGCGGATGGTACTGTGATTGGGTGTTCTGCTGATGATCAACGGCGAGTGACCTGCTTTTCCGCTCGAGGCCAATCCCCGCACTTTGTCTGGGGGCAGGTCAGAGTCAAGCATTGCCCAGTTTGCTTGGAGCATCTGGGGTATCTGGGGTAGATGAGTCTGGGGTCAAGCACACGGGTCAGTCTTCCCAGACACTCTGGGTATAATACCGACTCGTTGCCGTTCGATATGTGAGAGGCCGATCAGAGAGACCCTCCGACATCTCAAGTTCCTCGATACAAACCCTTTGGCGCCATCAATCCCACACCCGCCACAACTCCTGCAAACATGGCTCTCAGGAGCTCGATTGACAAGCATGACGTCGAGTCTGTCGACCAGAAGACTCACGTCGAGAACTCGTCTCAAGCCATCGATATCGCTGGCTTCCGCGTGTTCGGCCTGGATCCTGCTGATGCAGAGTTCTTTGAGACTTATCCAGAGGAGAAGCGCAAGAGAGTCTTCCGCAAGGTCAGCAGCCTATCTCACCACCGGACCCAGATCTGAAGCGGCTAACTCTGATGAAGGTTGACTTTCGCCTGGTGCCGATGCTCGCCTTGCTCTACTTGATTTGCCACATTGATCGCGCGAACATCGGTAATGCTAAGATTGAGGGCATGGTAGAAGACCTGGGCATGACAGGCGTTCAGTATAACATTGTCCTATCTATCTGTTCGTTCCACCGCTTCGGTTGACAATTCTCCCGATTTGCTAACAGGTTTGGCAAGTTTTCGTCCCATACGTGCTACTCGAGGTCCCCAGTAACATCATCCTCAAGAAGTTCAAGCGCCCTTCCATGTACCTTGGAATCCTGACTCTTTCCTGGGGAATTGTCATGACCTGCACTGGCTTGGTAAAGAACTTCGGCGGCCTCATGGCCACACGTGTACTTCTCGGTATTTTTGAGTAAGTTTTTAGTTGAATCTGACAGGCATTAAAAGTAGCTAATCTCTTCTTTTAGGGCTGGTTTCTTCCCAGGCGCGATCTACCTTTGCAGCTACTGGTACATGCCCAAAGATCTCAGCTCTAGGATTTCATACTTCTACTGCGCGAGCGCTCTCTCCGGTGCATTCTCTGGTCTGTTGGCCGCAGGCATCGCCAAGATGGACGGGGTTGGCGGCTACGAGGGATGGCGTTGGATCTTCATTCTTGAGGGCCTCGCTACCGTGGTTCTGGGCGTCGCCTGCTTCTTCCTACTCATCGACACGCCCGCCTTGTCGACACGATGGCTCGAGCCTGATGAAATTCGCTACCTGGAGCTTTCCATGTTCATCAAACAGGGCGGTGGCTTCCGCGAGGAATCTACTGTCAAGTGGAAGGATCTGAAGATGGTCCTGACCAACTGGAGGATTTATGTGCAGGCCTATTTCCTGCTTTGCCAGTCGGCTCTGTCTTATGGTAAGTCTGATCAACGGCCAATCTGCCCAGAAATTACAAGCTAACACGCATCGAAGGCATCAAGTTCACTCTCCCTACGATCACCAAGTCTATGGGTTTCAGCACTACCAACGCCCAGTTGACCTCTGCCCCCCCTTATGTGGCTGCAGCGGCTTCTGCCATTATCTTTGCCAAGATCTCCGACAGGTTCTTCTGGCGCATGCCCTTCGTTGTCACCCCAATGGCCATCGTTACGACGGCGTACTCAATCATCATCTCCCTCAATGGAGAGCTTAAGGAGAAGCGAGCCGTTGCCTACTTCTCTGTGGTTCTCGCCGTCATCGGTATCTACCCCATCCAGGCCGCTGCGGCGTCGTGGAACGCCAACAACATTGCTCCATCCTCGAGGCGAGCGATCGGCATTGCTCTGATGAACTGTGTTGGCAACGTCGGTGGTATTGTCGGCAGTTTCATGTACCTCGAACGCGAGAAGCCCAAGTACTATACCGGCTTCGGCCTCAGTTTGGCCTTTGGCGCGAGCGGTATGATCGTCGCTGTGCTTCTTGAGCTGAGCTACAAGCATGCCAATGCGCGCAAGGCAAAGATTGCGGAGGAGGCGAAGCAAAAGTACACTGAGGAGGAGCTGTTTGAAATGGGAGATCGATCTCCTTTGTTCAAACACGTTCTGTAGGGAAATTGTTGGAGGAGTGTACCGGCAGTGATCACTGTCCACCAGAAGATGGGTTTCGGTGATTTGGACCTTCGTCTACCAGTTTGTCATGTCAATTAGCAGGCAGAACACGTTCCCCTTTACTCGAATCATCGCCGTTCCACGCAGTTGTGATTTTTCAACCTCGTAAGACTGGCAGAATGTGATACTCTGCGGCCGGATGTTGAAATTATCTTGATGATATACGCATATCATCCGAAAGATCATCAGTTCCGCTTGCAAGCAACCCGAAATTCGCATCATGAAAAGACAGCATAGCCGATTCCGACTATAGTAAAGCTGATGTCGGATATATAGCTTGGTTCTGGGTCTAGATCAGAGGCAATATCATTTCTGGTTTTCAGATTGAATGGTGTCGTACAACAGTGGTATATATTTGCAGGTTCTAAGCAACATACAATTGCCACCAGTATTACGCCCCATTTGTAGAACCATTGGCTAGCTCAGCTTTCGCGTCTCCTCTCAGAGTTGCCTCTACCTCTGCAAGCTCTGCGGTTTGCTCTTCAATAGCCTTCTTCGCCGCCGCAGAGGGCTCGACGTACGGTTGTCTCGGCCTCAACTTTTCGACCGCGCCTTCAATACCGGCCGCCTTGGCCGTGTTCAGGGCGGCAGCGTACTTGACGGCGGCGATGCCTGCCTTGCAAGGTTGCTCAGCCAGCGCCGCCTTCTTGTGTAGCATCATGGCTTCCTGGAACTTGCCCTCCTTGTACAAATTATAGATGTGCACGATGGTCCGGGGGAAAACATTGGCGAAACCGGCAATGGTGCCGGCCGAACCGGCAGCCAGGCCTCCAATCAGGAAGTCCGACTGGCCACCGTACGTCGCAAAGCTTTCTTCCGGAAGCTCGGCGCTGAGACGGGTAATCTTGGCCACGGCACCACAAGTCAGTTTGACGCCGACAATGTTCGAGTGTTTCCGTGCGAGGGCCGCAATGGTTGCGGAATCAAGGTCAATGCCGTTGCAAACCGCAGGGAAGTTATAAATGACAATCGGGAGCTGACTCTTGCTCGCAACCTGGTCAAAGAAGTTGTTGATAACCTCTGGCGTGGTTTGCTTGCCAAAGTATGCCGGAGGGAGGAGCAGACAGTAGTTGGCACCCGCTTCATATGCATCCGATATGAACTCCAGCGTCTGCTTGGTCGAATGGCCACTGACACCAGCCATGATGGGGTAATCTGGCCCGCACGCGCTCCTCGCGGTTTCAAGGAGTGTCTTGCGCTCCTCGCGCGTCATGAGAAAGGTTTCTGAATTGGTCCCAAGGACCACCAGACCGTGAAGACCTGACTTGGACAAGTATGCATAGTACTTTTCCTGAGCATCGAGATCAAGAGTGTCGTCCTCGTGGTTGAAGAAAGTGATGGTTGGTGCCCAGACGCCGCTAGGTGGGGCAGCTTGAGGGGCCATTATGAGTGCTGTCTTTGCTTTGAAGGTACGTGAGTGGTTCCGTTCAACTTGTATCTGCTTGAAGAAGCGCGTTGACAGAGCGAGGAGTGCAGTGTAGGTAGCTGCAGGTCCTTATACTGTGAGTGAGGGATATCCGCCTCGGTCGAGTCGCGAAAGTCCGACTGACGCGTAAGTGGTGCTCCCGGGCTTACCCCACGTCCCTTTCGGCAGCTCAGCAGTTTGATGTGCTAGCCCTGGCCCTCCGCTCCTCTGAAAGCTGATCAGAGTCCCACCCGACAAGATCACTTCTGTGCGCCGGGCGGACTGTCGCCTCGGAGACAACTTTGCGGGGTCTGAATACTAACTTGTCGTCCTGTCGAATCATTGCCACTATCGAACGGCTCAGATACCCAAAGATGGAGCCCATGGCATGCAGTTGTGTGGTAGTCGACGGGTCGTGATCCTTTGCCGACGGATAAGCCCTGATCGCCCACCATCAAACACCAACAGAGTGAGAGGAACGGAAAAGCCGCAGCGGGGCACAACCACTGTTACAAATGCAACCCCACAGTTGCCTCAACGTCAGCGTGCGGGGAACGAGATCAATAGCTCTCCCAGCTTATATCATGGTGTTTGTTCATCAAAGACTACCCCCAGTACGCCTATCACATGCTTCATGAAAGGCTACAGACCATCCATAAACCAAGACGCATCTTCACTCATCTTTACAAATTAAGACTCACGATATGGCATCAGCAGCGTCCAAGCGCCTTGAAGGCAAAACCGTCCTCGTCACTGGTGCATCATCCGGCATCGGCCGCTCCACAGCCTTCGAGTTTGCTAGGACCAGCCCAAAGAATCTCAAGCTCATCCTGACGGCGCGTCGCATTGACACCCTCAAGCAAATTGCGGCCGACATTGTCAGCGAAGTCGGTGACGGTGTCAAGGTCTTGCCAGTGGCCCTCGACGTGAGCGACGCCGCGGATGTGCGCTCGTTTTTGGACAAGCTGCCAGGGGAGTTCAAAGAGATTGACGTCTTGGTGAATAATGCGTAAGATTCGTTCCCCTACCCAACAAGCATGCCCACCAATTAACCCGGGCCTCCAGCGGTCTGGTCAAGGGCGTCGCCAAAGCGCCTGAGATCAATGAGGATGATATTAATGTCATGTTCGCTACCAACGTGACCGGCCTCATCAACATGACACAGGCTATCTTGCCTGGCATGCTGAGTCGCAACGACGGCGAGGGCTCCGGTGACATCATCAACATTGGATCGATTGCGGGCCGCGAGCCGTACGTCGGCGGCGGCATCTACTGTGCTACCAAGGCGGCCGTTCGATCGTTCACCGACAGTCTGCGCAAGGAATTGATTTCGAAGAGAGTGCGCGTCATTGGCATAGACCCAGGCCAAGTCGAGACGGAATTTTCGGTTGTGAGATTTGGCGGCGACAAAGCCAAGGCCGATGCCGTTTATGCGTATGTTTCCCATGGAGCCCATGCCACTGTTTTTTGTTTTGGTCTAACATCTTTGTAGGGGCTGTGAGCCATTGACGCCAGACGATATTGCCGAGGCCATCGTTTTCGCTGCCTCGAGAAGGGAAAATGTGGTTATTGCGGACACACTGATCTTCCCTAACCATCAGGCTGCGGCCACCATCATGCACAGGAAATCCGCGTAGAGAACCTCTGGACAACTCAGATCCAGAATATGGCATTACTAGAATTAGACCACCATGGTGTTGGGCTGAATAGAGTACTAAGTGTTTGACTAAAGCCACACAGCCGCTTTGCACTCTCCACCGCCGTCTATCACAACCCAAAGGTGTCATCGTAGTGAAATATGTCGAGGTTTCCAAGACCAGACGACACCATCGAAGCAAACTGTCCCCAGCCAGAAAACTCTTCGATCCCCGCGACACCCATACCACTAAAGTCGATTGCTGCTTCACCCATTATTTCCGCATAATTTGTGGCGGTGCTCGGACTCGTATCAACAGGCATCGCCATGGCCTCGATGCCTCCTAGCTGCGCGTCGATTCCCGAGCTGCCAAAGCCGAGGGTCGGATGTAAGCGCTTCATCTGACGCAAAGCCTCGACTCTTAGCTCTTCTAGCACCAGATAGTATCGCTCCACAAGCGAGCCCTTTTGTGCAATGGTTGCCATGTGTGACTGACAGCGGGCGGCTGCAGCAAAGTAGTTGCGGTAGGTTTCTGGTGGAGATGCCCATTCCTGAATCACGTAGATGTAGAGCACCATGGCTGCAGTGAAGCCAAAGTACGCTGTGATCTGTAATTTTTGTTAGTATATTCTTGTGGGATGGCGATGGTCGTCAGCAAACCAACCCAAAAGGCGTGATACATCTGCCCACTCTGCGTCATATCGTCGATTGTATTCATGGTGTCCATCGCAGCTACCAAGCACTCATCAATACGTTCCTTTGTTTGCATATTGGTGTTACTAGGCCGTCTCCCCTGCTGCGAGATCTGGGCGAAGTTGTTCAATAGGCACTGCCGTCGGGTAAGAATGATGGCGTGCCAGTAGGTCAAGTTGAGCACATTTCGTTGGCGTTGAAAGATGGGTACGATGAGCGAAGTGCTAAAGAAGTCGGCATCGAGGAACCGTGAAAGCTCGGCTCGCCAGTCACTAAGGTCTTGAGAAATAGACTGAGTATCTTCTGCACGGCGGCTAGCTGATATCGGTCGAATCGAATACAGCGAACGTAAGATCTTGCTAATGATTTGGGCCAGTCTGATCTGTCAGCTAGCATCAAGAAACTCTCGCCACGCTTCCAAACTACCTGCTTCATGTGTGCCACGGGGGCCAGCATTATTGAGTAGCCCCTATTCATAGACGAGGTGCAAAGACTTTCCCTTGTGATCTCATGATCCTCGACACATGCCGGTAGTTCGGTATCGATATCATCGTCGTGAAAGGAGCGTGGCCTCCCCAGCGAGACGCTAAGATAAGTGTCGAGGGTGTAAGCGCACCAGAATGTTCTGCGGCGACTTTCAACCTCGATATAGTTCAACCCACTTGCCGTTCCTGGACTTTTGTTGCGGTTGAGGCCGATTGCCAGAGCCAAGTTTGTGACTGTGCCGAATTGACTCCAGCAATGGTTGACGCGCGACTGCGTGAGAAGATAGTAACACTGCAGAAGGCGTGCTTGTATGCTCGTTAGTCGAATGGAGCCACTTTCTTTGGAAAGTTGGTTTTCAGCTGCAAGAAAATATCGAGAACTGTTTTGAGTCATTAGCCAGGCAAATGCCTCGAATGAAAGACTTCCTGACCTCAAATCTGCCGGGCCTGGCCTGGCGTTCTCAGGCATGTACACCCTAGCATGAGCAAAGATCATGAATAAGAGGGCAATCTTGGCCGTCGCGTTGTGAACGTCACGCATCGTGCCCAAAGTATCATAAAACTCCTCGAACCAGTCCTGCAACGTAGGCCGATGAAGGAATCGGTAGGTCGGCATGGCAAAGTCAAAATACCGGTCAAGCAACTTCTGGCCGTCTTCCCTTGGAAGAACCATGCAAAATGAAGGATCAAAGTCAGGCGGACTAATTGGAGCATCTCCAAATGTGAAAATGCTGCTTGGCGCAGAAAACTCGATGGCTTTATGAAGCCTCTTCTGCACTCTCAAGAGAAAAGACACCCCCGAGGCGGGTCCAATGTAATGCCCTTGTAGGTCTTCTTGTGGAGGCTCTGGTGTTTGTTGAGATGAAGCGGCCAACCTTGCCGGCGCTTGGATGTCTTCGTACGTGGACGAAGTGTTCTGACCGTCCGAAGCCAGGTTATGATCCAGCAACTCTGAGCTCGTAATGGTCATCCCTGGCACAACTGACGATGAAGTCATGATGTTGGATACCATATTATCCTCAGAATCCATGCCGGCAGCATGGATCTCATTCCTAGTCACGGGCGGGATGTCTGGTGCCCGCCCTCTTGCATAGGCAGCATCGTACGTGCATTGGTTCTTGACGCGAACACAGAATTCGCACGGTTGTGTCCCATTGCATTTGATCTTTCGCCTGCGTATCGTCATCAGTCAATCCATTGATGACACGGATCACCCATCATTGCACTACTGACCGTTTACAGCGGTCACATGCCCGTGTGACCCTGAGTCGCTCCTTGTTCCTTTTCCGTCTCTTGTGAAGCTGGGACCCACTCTCATCCATCATTGTAGGGAGCAATTGGCGATTCGCAGCCATACAGGAGGCGCCGAAGCAGCTTCCGTCAGACTAGGTAGAGTAAACGAGAAGGTGACATAACAACCAGAGCGGAAGAGCAAGGAGCAAGAGTCGGATGCCGTTGGACGGAGATGTGTCGAAAATGGGAGGAGAGCTCAGTGCGGAAAAGTCACTTCGGTTCCTGATGCGGGGCAGTGGCACGAGCTGGTGCTTATCCGTGATCCTACACCCACCGCTGAGTGACGACGGTTGAGGCTGCAAGTCATCCGATTTCACTGTTCAGATTTTCTTTCCCATGCCATCGTTTCTTGTTTGTTGCAATGTGACTGAGCCATCTGCTTGGGGGGGGGGATGTCT